CAAAGAGTCCCTCACAAAAATATGTCTTATTACTCAGGCATTAAAATATTCATACTTGTCCTGGTACCTCCAAATATCATAAATGCAGCATTTAACAGTGTTCCATTGAAAATGAAAAAAAAAAACAAACAAAAACTCAGTAACACTGGCATAGATACATGTGAGAAGTTGCAGAAAAATGTTCTATTAAAGAAGTTATTAGATAACACTGGGGTCTGTATCACAAAGAGAGCGCCGTAGGTAATCCAGCAGCATTTGGGATCAACTCTGGTTTAACATCATCACAAAGCTGGTTCAATTTTAGCCTCAGTAACTAACAATGGTAACCAACACTGTATGATTAACCTGCTTCAGGCAGGGTTACCTCTCAGGAAAACAGACTTTAAAGTCTTTCTGGGAAAAGAGAAAACAAAACAAAAACTGGACTCTGTATTTCTTCAACATCCTGACAATTACTGAGCACTTTGCATTTAAAACAAGAGTTTTAATAAACAATTCGTATACCTCTCATCTAGGGTGAGGCATTTATAGCTGCATGTCAAGTAAGCATACGGTTACAGGCACCATTTATTAACAGTTAAAGCAAATGCACTATTTTGGTCAGATAAACAGATCAGATTTGTTTTTGTTGATCTTTCAAAATCCAGAGGCAATTCCTGCAGAATTCCAGGTTTTATCAATGCAATATCCAAATTAACTTGCTGGTGAATGTTTTGAACCTGAATGTGAACACTGTCATATTTCATCTCAAGCCTGCATTAAATTCACTGTAAGAATAATGTGATATCAACTGACTATAAACTCAGTCAAACGTATCCTTCATTTTTGTGGATAACAAAGTTTGGTTTGGCAGCAGCGTGAACAAGGTGGATGAAAGGTTGTTACTACTGCATATCAAGTTAGACTAAACGCTACCAGAATTTCACAACACCAGTAGTGTGCGTAATAGACGCTACACACCTAAAAAGACTGCACAGTTGACCCTTCTAACGCAAGAAAAAAAAAAAGAAAAAAAAAGAAGGGCTTTAAGTTTCACTTCATATTTTTCACTTTGTTGTATGCGCCCCACCTGCAGGGACTGCCCCAATGTCTGACAACTACTTTTGCGTTAACCAGTGTAGAAACACTGCACTATAAGGCTGTAATAACACCTGCGCTGACATATTTTTTTAATGCAATATAATTTTCTTCATTTGAATTGTCACAGCTATCACCAGTATCGGTATATGGTGCCACCTTCTGGGCCGATTAAACCCAGATTTTACTGAGCCAATTTAGAATTAGCATTGTGATACATGTTAAGGCAGATTAAACTGCAGTTGATTTGTGATGCAGACCCCACTCAGTTTCTTTCTGTATATTTGTGTGTTACTAATGCCAGAGTCCTGCTGGTCTCAAAAAGTTACAAGGTCAAAAAGTAGTAAATATTGCAACAGACAGCATCCAACCTTGATCGGTT